CTGAGCGCTGGATGAGGGCGGCAGCGCTGGCAGCCGGGCCTGAGGGCTGCAGCGGGATCCCACTGGGGGCCTGCTGGGCCCTCCCTCTGGCTGCCCCGCGCCGCGGGCCCGGCGGAGCGGTGGGGTGGGCGTCCCTCTGCCTGGGCGCCTCAGGGCCGCCTGGAGCCCTGCGGGCTCGTACTGGCACCACCATCGCTGTGGGGGCCGTGAGCGGCCCAGCTGGACAGAAGGGCGGGAGGAATCCTTCCCTCCCTCTCTCTTCCCAGTCCTGGGGTTCCCTTCATGCCGCCATGTAGCGTGAAAACCAGGTGCTGCTGGCTGGGGCAGGGGGTCCCCAGGGCCCCCCATCGCTTTGGTGCTTCACCCCCTTGGCATGGTCACGGCTCTCGCAGGAGCAGCCCAAGAGATCCTGGCCGGCCCTGGCTCTGTCACGGCAAACACTGGGGCGTCCCCAGCAGGCCCCAGAGCCCCGGGCAGGGGGACGCGCGGCCCAGTGCTTGCCCCTGCGTGGTGGCTGCCCCGGGCCACGGAGGGGCCCGCTGGGGCCACGGGAAGGGCTCAGGGCCAGCACAGGGCTGAGGGGCCGCCGGCGGGCTCAGCGCCGCGTCGGGCGAGGCTGCTGTGCCTGCCCCTTCCAGCCCAGCCCCACCTTAGCTGGTTAAACTGGTTTGAAGTCCAGACGGCGGCGGGGAGAGACTGTGGAAGTGTTTCGCAGACTCCCAGCCGAGCTTCCGCCGCTGCGCGGCCCCCAGCCCTATGGCCCCCCACTTCTTTCCAAGTAAGTCTCGCAGCGAGGGGAGCCCGGTGCCAGCTTCGTCCCGTGTCCCGGGGAGCGGGGAGATGGAGGCGTGCGAGGCGCAGGAAGCTGCTTTAGCTGTACTCCCTTGTGTGGGCCTGGGAGGAAGCCCCGTGCCGCTCCGTGCCTCAGTTTCCCTACGCCTGTGGCCAGGCCAGGGGGTCATTCTGGGGGTGCAGGGATGAATGTGCCCAGAAGGGAGAGAGATTTTCATACCTGCAGCCAGCAACACCTGGGATGGTCTAAGAGACAGGGATCCCCTGCTAAGAGAGGAAAAATGGGAGATTTCTGCCTGGGTTTCCTGCTCCCTCACGGCGAGTGGCGCTCAGCAGCCTCCTGTGCCCGCCCCGGATCAATCTCGGCCACAAAAAGCAGCAAATCTGGCTCATCCTGGCTTTAGTTGTTCCTAGACGCGGCCTGGCCGCCTCTCCCCAAGTATCTCTCCACATATCTGGTGTGGGACAGAGCCGCGGGCGGAGGGAGGCAGCTGCATCGGCGAAGCAGTGTCCAGCTGCCCCCCGTCCCAAGGGTCGTGCCTGGCTGCAAAGCCAGCTGTATTTGCCCAGGGGGGGAAGCAGTTCCCAGGCTGCTGCTGTTTTGCAGCCAGACCCGGGGCTCACCAGGCGCCCAGCTCTGGGCAATGGCGCCCACAGGCACTGGGTGCACGCTTGGATGCGGTTTCAGTCCTTGCTTTGCCTGGAAAGGCCAAGAGGAGACTGGCACTTGGTGTTTTATACATGGTATTTGATGTCCAGCCCTGTGCCTCGATGACTCTGAAACTGTTGGGTTAATGGTTGGACTGGATGATCATCAAGGTCTTTTCCAATCTAGACAGTTCTGTTCCTTGTTGATAAATGGCTGAACCTCACTGGTTGCATTTCTGGCGGATATTTCCAGGGACTGAAGTCTGAGATTCAACTGCTAACTGAACAAATAAGCCAAGAGCATTCATCTCAAAGTGTACTTTGTTCATTTATTTTGACAACTCTAGTGTTTCTTTAATTATTTATAATGCTTCATACTGTACTGGAGGAGATTTTTTTGTAAAAATAAGGAGGTTTTAGTAGTATAGCATCTATGATCAGACCTGCAGGGGAAGGAGGAGATAAGCAGTCACTCCCTGATGTGAGCAGGAAGTAAAATGCAGGTTGAAAGCAAATTCCTAACTAACAAAAGTTTTCAAGCACCAAAGCAGAGAAGGACAGACGTGCGAGACTGAGCGCTGTGGGTTAAAAGGAGACTTTTGGGGTGAGGATGACGTCCAGAAGAGCAGCTTCCTTCAGGAAAAGGCCATTCAATAGAATCTAGATTTTTGTCCATTGTGTCTTCATCTTTGGAAGGATATCCATGGGGAATTAAGGTAGAGAAGGAGGCTATACTAGGCAAAATGGTCTGTGTTCCAGTAAGGTGCGTACGTTACTGCAGTTAGGTGAGAATGTTTTACCTGAAGTATCATCCTACATAAATTCCAGGACATCAGTGAGAAACACGTGCCCTGATCCCGCTGCCATGGGGACACTGGGCTCTGCTTTCTCCTACCAGGGGAAGGGCAGGCAGGCAATGGGGACTCCAGGGGCAGCAGCTACCAGTTCGGAATCACAGAATCCCAGACTCATCTGGGTTGGAAAAGCCCCTGAAGCTCCTCCAGCCCAACCATGACCCTCCCCCTGACCCTTCCCAACACCCCCAGATCCCTCAGCGCTATTCATACCTCTTGTTGTAACCGCGGCTGTGTGCATGACCCCAAACCTCTTGTTTCTGCTGTATTTTATCTGTCGCCTTTCTCCTGGCGCAGGGTGAAGCGGGAAGGACAGGAACCCAGTCCACTCTCAACACCCCAAAACGCAGGAGAGTTTCTTGCCAGCCCCCAGCTGCATCCCCAGCGCTCTCATGGCTGCTGCTGACCCCATCCTGCCCCCTGAGGAGGTGGCTCTGCTGGAGCTGGGGAAGGTAGCCCTGCCTGCCCCCCTGGACAAGGTGCCATCAGCCCTGGATGAACACCCAGGGGACCCTGATGCCACCCTGCCATGGGACCGGTCCCAGCACAGCACCCAGGGCCAGCCAGAGCCGGCGGAGACGAAGAGGCGCTCAAGTCCTGAAGGAGGCCACGAAGCCCCTGAGGAGGCTGCTCTCACCTGCCCCCCAGCTGAGGCCGAAGACGAGGAAGCCCCTGGGCTCCCCGTGATGGCAGCCCATGTCTTTGTGCCCATCGACCCACAGTGCATTGAGCGGACACCCGGCAAGCAGAAGAAACAACCTGCCCCGTGGCCCCGGGAGGAGGGCAAGGGGGACTACGTCCCCCACGACAGAGCCGACGGCCTCCGCCAGAAGCAGGTCTTCCTCCCCCTCGGCCCCTCGCGCTACAGGGACCCACGGGGCTTCGAGGGGCGAGCGGCCAAGCCACCGACCGAGGGGCCACGGTGCCCGTGCGCCAGGGACTGCAGCACCGACAACCTCAAGGCCGTGGCCTCAGTGGTGGGGGCCCTGCTCCTCTGCCCCTGCCTTGTCTACGGGGCCTACGCTTTCCTGCCTTTTGACGCCCCGCTGCTGCCCACCGTCAGCGCCCGCCTGGTCTACACCCTGCGCTGCGCTGCCTTTGCCACCTTCCCCATCGTCCTGGGTGAGCCGCGGGGTTGGTGTAAAAAGCCCTTTGTCCCCATCGCTGGCCTCGGTGGGTGCGTAGAGCCGGCGCTGAGCTCTCTGCAGCTCCGTTGCTCCCACCAGGAACAGCAGACTTGAATTTTCCCACCCTGTTGCATCTCCCCAGCCCCAGTGCAGTTTCACTCCCAGCCCCTCTCTCTGTCCCCCCCAGGGATGATCATCAGCGGCATCTCCCGCCTCTGCTCCTCGGCGCTGGAGCCCTTTGGGGAGCTGCAGCGGGAGGTGGAGATCCACCGCACCTACGTCTCCCAGTCTGTCCACCTCTTCATCCTCTACTTCTTCAACATGGCTGTGCTGGCCACCTACCTCCCCCAGGAGGTCCTCAAGCTCATCCCCCTGCTCACAGGGCTCTTCGCCATCTCCCGGTAAGTGGCTTCTTTACCCTCCCTGCCCTGCGGCAGTGCCTGGGGTGCAAACACCACACCTTGGTGCAAACTCTGGCTCCAGTAGTGCCTCACCTGGCCAAGGAAAGCTGGCACAGGGCTGCTCCAACCCCCACTTCCACACCTGGCAAACCCCTGCTGGGGTGAGAACCCCTGAGCAAAGCTGGGTGCCAGCCCCAAGGCATCGCCCTCGCCAAGCCCGCACCTCTGTGCCCTCTCCAGGTTGATTTACTGGCTGTCGTACGCCATCGGGCGCTCCTTCCGCGCCTTCGGCTTCAGCATGACCTTCCTGCCCCTCCTGGCCATGCTACTCTGGAACCTTTACAGCATGTTTGTCCTGGAGCACGAAAACCTCCTCGCTGTGGCGACGCCAAAGCCCGAGGACCACTCCAAGGACAGCAGGGCCAAACTCCGCTACTGGGGGTGAGGGAGGCCCCGGGGAGATGGGGTGCCCGGACGCCACGGTGCAGAGGGGTTGAGCTCTCCTCGCTGCCTTGTCTTGTGAGCCCTAAAGGTGGAGGGGTGTGGGCAGACCTGGCTGGGCCCCTGCTCCCTGCCCAGACCCAGCAAGGGTTTGCTGGGCACCCGGCGTTGATAGAGCCAAGGTGCAAACCCCTCTGCACTGGGAGTTTTCTGCAGGAGGGCGAACGGGGCCTGGAGAAAGACCCAGGGACCCCCGTTCCATGAGGATGGGGTGGGGTGGGATTTGCCTGAGCTGCTGGAGCTGGCTTTGCCCAATAAAACTCTTCACCAAGTGGTTCTGTGGCTGGTTTGGGGAGGGTGGGTTAAATTCCCCTCAGAATCACTGCTGCCAGGACTGGTAGCTTCGCCCACAGTATGTCAACATCCAGCCCCAAAATGGTGTTCCCAAGAGGGGAGAAAATGGTTTTTCCCACAACTGTCCATCTCCCAGCGCCCTCCAGCCCTGCACCCTGCTCCTGGCTCCCTGCAGGGTGGGGTGGCCAGTCCCGCCCAGCTGGTCCCTCCTCCTCTTGCTCCTGGTGGAGGTTCAGCACCTGGCTCACAAAGCAGCTGGCCGGGTAGGAGGGAGGGGGCCCTGCCCCAAGAAGGGAGGCGGGGAGATGGCACCAGGGTTGCTGCGGCTGGGGACGGCCAGTCCTCCCACAGAACAGGCACCAGGCCTGCACCCCACCTCGGAGTCCTCTGCAGACATGAAGGGACCCCTGGGAGTTCAGCCCCATCCACGGCTTGTCTCAGTTTTCCAATTCTCAGACATAAACCAAAACAGTTAAAAATCCACCCAAGAAAGGGGAAGCCCCTCCATCCTTAGATCTGCCGAGTGTTTAGCTCATCCCACCTCCCATCCCCAAATGCTGCATCACCACAGTCAGAGAATGGGAACAGTCCGGCTCTCGCAAATGCTCTTCTCAGCAGAGACGTGGCCGATGGCCTGGGCTCACGCTGAGCCCACAGCTCAGAGCCAAAACCACCCCAGAGCCCCACATGCTGCTGCGGGGCACGAGTCACAGAACCCCAGACTCATCTGGTTGGAAAAGTGCTTGAGGCTCCTCCAGTCCAACCATGACCCTCCCCCTGACCCTTCCCAACTCCCCCAGACCCCTCAGCGCTGGCTCAGCCCGACTCTTCAACCCCCCCAGGGATCCCGGGGACTCCCCCCTGCCCTGGGCAGCCCATTCCAACGCCCAACAGCCCCTTCTGCACAGAAATCCTTCCTCAGAGCCAGCCTGACCCTGCCCTGGGCAGCTTGAGGCCATTCCCTCGGGGCCTGGCGCTGGGGCCTTGGCTCCAGAGACTCATCCCCCCTCTCTGCCCCCTCCTGGCAGGGAGTTGCCGAGGGCCAGGAGGTCTCCCCTCAGCCTCCTCTTCTCCAGACTGAACCCCCCCAGTTCCCCCAGCCGCTCCCCAGCAGACCTGTGCTCCAGACCCTGCCCCAGCTCCGTTGCCCTTCTCTGGCCACGCTCGAGTCATTCAATGGCCTTTTTGGGGTGAGGGGCCCAGAACTGAACCCAGGAATCGAGGGGCGGCCTCCCCAGTGCCGAGCCCAGGGCTCAGATCCCTCCCCTGTCCCTGCTGGCCACGCCAGGGCTGGTACAAGCCAGGATGCCGTTGCCCTCCTTGGCCTCCTGGGCACACTCTGGCTCATTCTCACCCCCCCAGTCCCTCTCTGACCGGCAATCCAGGGGCAGGGAGCCTCCCTCCTCTCAGAGGCGTTTTTACACCCTGGCTCCGGCTGAGCTTCAGCACCCGCTGAAACCCCAGAGCTGCTCTCCTCGAGCTCACCTGTAGTGCAGTGTTACCACGAGAAACTGCTCTTAGAAATCCACTTTACTTGGTCGAAGAAAAGTCAGTGATGGAGAACGTGAAAACCCAGCACACCCCCAAGTGACAGGTACCTTTGCAAACACCCAGCAGCCACAGATCACGCTCGCCCCATGGCTCCAAGCACCTGGAGAGCACCTGCGAGCCAGCCCTGCAGAGCCAACGGCCGAGAGCAAGGGCTGGATCAGCCCTTTGTGGGCTGACAGGACATACCTGAGCTCAAGCAGCTGCCCCAAAGCAGCACTGGGTTTCCCTTTTGCACCAGCAGCTCTCAGCAAGGCCAGCACAGCAGAAAGTGCTTGTTGGGGATTGGGGAGTCTGTGAGGCCCAGCTGGGTTGAGGGGGGCTGTCCTGGGATGCCCCCAGCACAGCGAGAAGCAGCAAGGCACCCTGCACGCTGGCAGGAGCAGTAACTGGTCCCCAGCCCTGCCCTGCAGCCCTGCTCCTGGTTGGAGGCACCCAAAGAACCCTGGAGCGCTCCAGAAGGGCCCAGCCCCAGCTGCCGCAGACACAACGACAGTGGTTTTATCCCTTGGGAGGAGGAGGATCATCCCGCAGCTCAAGGTGACCCTGACCGACTCCCACTAGTCACTTCCCTTGGCTGGATGGGTCAGGGGAAAACAGAGGAAGAAGTGAAATCCGGTGCAGGACCTGGGCAGTAAGAAGCAGCAGGACAGAGCGATCTGCGACGTGGGCAACTGCTGCAAATGTCGCCCTGGTCCCCTCCGAGCCTGGGCTGCAGGGACAGAGGGAGGACAGAGAGGAGATTGCGGACACTGGAGCCCCTGCAGCAGCCACGGTCGTTTCCTGGCGACAGGAAGGATCCTGGGGGTCTCTCCAGAGAGCGTCCCACTCAGTTGATGGGGTCGTACTCAGAGTAACGTTTCCTCTGGGCCAAGAGAACCAGGCAGCTGCCCACCAGCAGCATCCCCACAGGGGTGCCCAGTGCCACCGCCATGATGGAGATGACGAGGGGGGAGAAGGTGTCCTTGGGGGGCTGCCCGAAGCCCAGCAGCGCCGACCTGCAGGAGAGGAGGAGAGAAATCACCCGTGGGGTGGGGATCAGCCGTGGCCCACGGGGGGAATATCCAGGGCTTTCAATCCTGACAGGGCCAGATCAGGATTTCTTGGCATGTGGGGCAGGAGAAGGGGAGGAGTGAGGGAAGGCATCAATAAACTGCAAACCCCCTGGCTACAGGATTATAAGAAAACACGCACTTTTGAAAGGAGATAGCTATTAAACCGATAAACCCTCTAACCTTGCGTTTCCCCCAAGTTCTCAGTTGGGAGAGCAGCATTTCACACACAACACACCCCACTCACCAGCTCAGGTAGCGCTTCTCCTGGTAAACCTTCCCATCCTCTCCCCCAAAAGAGATATTGATGGCACTGACGGTGTAGGTGCTGCCTACACCCTCCCCAAAGTAGGCACGGACAACGCTGGAGGCGGGCAGGGTCCAGTTGGCTGCCTGGAGGCCACGAGAGCGGCACTGGATGTTGTCCTCACGCCTCGGGGTCTGGGAGCCGTAGGCTGTTGCCTTCCACTGCAGGAAGCTGAGTGTGGAGCTGCCGTTCTGGGACTCGGCGACCAGGGAGAGCATCTGGTGGAGGGAGAGCAACGGCGGTGGGGTGAGGGCAGATCACAGAATCCCAGACTCATCCGGGTTGGAAAAGCCCCTGAAGCTCCTCCAGCCCAACCATGACCCTCCCCCTGACCCTTCCCAACTCCCCCAGATCCCTCAGCGCTGGCTCAGCCCGACTCTTCAACCCCCCCAGGGATCCCGGGGACTCCCCCCTGCCCTGGGCAGCCCATTCCAACGCCCAACAGCCCCTTCTGCACAGAAATCCTTCCTCAGAGCCAGCCTGACCCTGCCCTGGGCAGCTTGAGGCCATTCCCTCGGGCCTGGCGCTGGGGCCTTGGCTCCAGAGACTCATCCCCCCTCCTGGCAGGGAGTTGCCGAGGGCCAGGAGTTCTCCCCTCAGCCTCCTCTTCTCCAGATCT